TTCTGCAGCCGAACCATTAGCAAGGCTGTTCCTTCTGAAGAGTCAAAGGGGAGTGTTTCCCATGCCCCCTGGGAAGTGTAGAGTGGGGACCAGCCATCTTGCCACTCTCCAATCTTGATTTCCATGTTCACATGGCATTTTCCTGATCTTTCCTCTCTTAGAAGTCCTTTTGTGCTTGTCTGTTTTCAGAAATGTCCCCATAATATTGACTTATAATCTATCCTGATGTGCTATTTTAACTTAATTACTTTAGAAAAACAGGATTTTCAAATAGCTTATATTTTTGAGGGACTAAAAAAAGAATAGGGATTCAGTAATAACTGGGGTAAAAACTTAACCCCACAGCATCCCATCCTCTGAACCCCCAAACTTCATATTGCTTTCTTGCAGAAAATGCATTCATTCTAGTATATCAGAAATTCTTACTCATTCCAGTATCAATTCTGCAGTCAAGAGCTCCTCTAAACATCATCTCAAAGTGCCCCAACTCACCATCTATGAACAAGGCTTAGAAATACGGTCCTGGGCCAAAATTCCTTTCTATCAGGGATCCATGAGAAACAGATGAAAAGTGGGCTACAGGGCCCAGAGAGATGTACAAAGAACGCTTGGTTCTCTTGGGGGGAAACCTAAGTCCAGTTTCCAGCATCTAGCTTCAGGGGATCTGATGGCTTCTTCAATTTATTTAATTATTTATTCAATTTATTGTTCTTCAGCTACATCATTTTTTTTTTTCCACAAACAAGAGGGAGGAGACAGACTACACCTTCAGTTCTCTGCCGAGTGATGTACTCCGTGCTGTGTCTGGTTCACTGCTTGCTCGTTGTTGAGGTTTGAGTCTGGGAGGTTCCCACAGGCTCATAGCACATGGTTCCCAACTGTGAGGGTCTTAGGAGACAGGGGTCTGGCTGCTGGAAGTAGGTGACTAGAGGTCTGAAGGGCAGACCTGCCCGGGTTCCACTCTAGGGCTTTCTGCTTCTTGTCCGTGGCCGTGTGAGGACTCTATCATGCCCTATTTCCATGAGCTACAGCATGCTTTGTGCATTACGATGGTCTCTACCTCACATCAGAAGGACCTTGCTGGTCAAATTTCTAGCAGCCATCTGTTCACAAAAGCACCTCTGGCACGTCTGTTTTCTGAGATGATACATTTTTTTTTTTCTGAGCCTTCCTCTGCCTTTTCTGAGCTGTTCAGAATCTCCCATCCGTCTACGTTTCCACCACCAACCCCTCCACGGTGTTCTGGGCTTTTCTGATGCACAACTCCCAAGATCCCCATCACTCACTTCCAGAGACATGCCTGCTTTTTCGGATATTTCAACAGCATCCCCCCCCCCCCCCCCCCCCGTGGCATAGCTCTGTTTCTTTCCCTGCTCACTAGAACAGAGTGCCCTCAGCTACATGATATATGCAGCACAAGGTTACTGTTCACTGGACTAGAGTCCAGGAGCCGGAGACAAGGTGTCAGCTGGATTAGTGCTGGGTTATGTGAGGGACCTTTATTACTGACCTTTGTCCTAGCCTCTGCTGGGTTTAGGTAGTCCGTGGCACTCCTTGGTTAATATGGAAATCACCAAGATTTTTGCTTTTACTGCCGGATGGCATTCTTCCAATGTTTCCGTGTCTTTTTTTTCTATGCTAGCCTGTAATATAGATTATGTTAAGTTAGGGCCCACCCAAATGATCTTATGTTAATGGGATCATTCTGTAGAAAAATTGATTTCAAAATAAGGTTGTGTTCCAAGGTACTGGGGAGTTGGAATTTCAGTGTCTTTTAGGTAAGTACGTTATTTAATTCATGTTCCTTACTAATAAATCATAAGCAGGACCTAGCAATATGTGAGCATTTTAAAGAAACATAAGTAGGGGTTGGTGTTTACATATTAGCAATCCCATTAGTTTATATGTAGCAGATATTTTGCAACACCATACCAAACTAATGGAATAGGTAATCAATAAATATCTTGTAATTGAAAGCTCGCTAATATAAATGTTGGCAACACCCTATAACACTATGACCAGGAACCACAACCTACCACATGAACTATTCGTGTCAACGCAGTAGGTGCAGCAGATACTTTAGAATCCGGTCCGAAATAGTGACTACATTGCTATTATAAGTGATTACAGTTCCTATCAGGTTTTAAGTACTCCACAGCTGGGGAAATGCATCAGTAGGGAGGTACATGCATTACTGTGCTTAAAAATCTGGGAGAACTCGAATAATTGTATGTAATTCTGTAAGAAGGTTGGAGGCCTATGGGATTATTTTAAAAAGAGTTATAGATAATTTCAATTTAATTTGTTATGAAAGTCTGTATTTTATTTTACTCATTTAGATTTTATCCCAAGAGGATACCTCAGGATTCACTAGATTCTCAGCTGGTTTATATACGTAAAATGATTCAGAAACTGTATTCAAGGTGCTGGAAACACAAAACAAGCTATTTAAGTTCAGTTAAGTGATATGAAGGAAAAGGAAAAGGGAAAGCAATAAAAACAGAAGAAAAGCTGGGTGGTGGTGGCACACGCCTTTAATCCCAACACCCAAGGAGGCAGAGGCAGGATCTCTGGAGTGCAAAGCCAGCCTGGTTTATAGAGCTAGTTTGAGGACTGCCAGAGATGCACAGAAAAATCCTGTCTTGGGAAAAAAATAAAACAAAGTAAAACAACACAAAAACAAAAACACCACTGCCACCATCACCACCAAAAAACAGAAGAAAACCAACAGGATTTCAAGTTGTCATAAGGGTCAATCAAGTACACAAATCATGTACAGAAGGAATGTATGAAAACGGCCAAAGTTGGAGAAATAGGTGACAGTGTGGTAGCAGACTCTACCGAAGTGGGTTTGGTAGAGCGCCCCCAGCAGGAAGAACAGACGATAGTGTGAAATTCTGGTCAGACTGAGGAGAAGTCCTCATGGAGAGGTCCTGAGATAACCAGAAAGCTGGAATGGCTGGAGATAAGTAGTGGGGAAGGCAGATCGTTTCAAAGGCAGAAAAAAGGAGATCAAGGAGAAAGGATTTCTTGAAGAAGGTGTGGGCTTGGGTGAGAAGACTCCATTGTATTCCAATTGCATTGTGCATCCATTAGCGATATCTGTGATTGTAGTTAAATGTACATAGCATAAAATTTATGACCTTAACCATTTTGTGTACTGCCCAGAGGTATTAAATGCATTTGTGTTGCTGGGCTACAATCACTGTCAGCCATCTGTCCATAAACCTTTCTCATCTTTCAAGACTGAATCTTTGTCCCCATTAAACACAAATTCCCCACCCCTGCCCGTAGCCTCCTATCTTTGGAGATATAGTGACAAAATGAGTTTTACATTTTAAATGTGATCTCAGGGATGAGATGGAGAAGGGTGGCAGCATGAGAAACTGGGTTCGAATCCCCAGCATTCATATAAAAAGCTTGGTATGGATTCCTATGTGTACCATAACTCCAGCATTGTGGGGGCTGAGACAGGCGGGTACAGAGAAATCACGGGCTCAGAGTCTAGCTGAAACGGTGAAGTTCAGGTTCAGCAAGAGTCTCTGTCTCAAGGTATAAGGCAGAGATCAGTAGAGGAAGACACTCTGGTTACAGGAACGGGAAACTCTATCAGGAAATCCTGTTAGAGCACCACTGATGGGAGACGATGGGGAATGGACTGTAAGAGCAGAGGGTGGGTAGGCCTTGGATTGCAGCAGGAAGTCAGAGAGGATGGGGTGATGTTTTAGAGAGGTGTGGGGGAAGGACTCTTCTCGTCTTTCAGACGCATTTAGTCTGAACCGCCTCTGTAACATTCAGGTAGGGATGCCAGTTGGTACACTATGTATTGAGTGTCTTGGGAAAGTAGGTTAATAATTAAAAGCATGAGAATGAGGGCAGTAATCGGGGGAAGATTATTTAGAGAAAAGCTCAGGAATATCCTCTGTACATTATCCTTTTTCAGAGGTCAGGTTATAAGGACAAGAACCCCGTGTATGCTTAGCCATGGTCTCTTAGGTAGCCTCATGTTGCAGGAATGTAGTTTTGGTCTGAGACCGAAAGAGTAGCCACCAACTTCCTTCTCTATATTTTACTTTACTAAAAAGAACAAAATGACTAGTTTCTGATGTGCCAGCTTTAAATCCTGTTGTACTTAGCATTTGCCATATGCACTGGGTGTGGCTTACAGAGGGATGCTATCTCCCTTGTTAGTTATGCCTGTGTCTAAGATGGAGAGGCTTGGCAGAAGTAAGGAAAACTTGTTAACAACTCAAAACTATTCAATGGCTCTTATATTGTGGGGCATTTTATATGAACAGAGTTAATTTAAGGTGTTCAGGGAAAGAGGGGATAAAAGTTTTATTGTAAAAAAAAAAAAGATTTGCTAGGCTGGCACCATGACTCACTGGCTAACATGTTTATTGCCCAAGCATAAGGACTTGAATTCAGTTCTCTAGAACCTTTATAAAGGGACAGACTCTGCTTTTATGGGAGTTAGGAGACAGGGACAGGAGACTCTCCAGAGACTCATGGGCTGGATCACCACACCCAGTGTTAAAATAACCATAAACCCTACCTCAAACAAGGTGGAGGTGAGGCCAATACCCAAGTTATCTTCTGACTTCCACACACCTGCTGCACTGTATATATGTTTGCACACCCCAAATCTCTGACTATCTTTTGTCTTGTTTATTAATTCAAGATAGTAAGCATTCATTGAGTCTTCCCTGTCATAAAACACAGTGTGATATTTATTTTATGTCTCAATCACTAGTTTACTAACTATTTGGGCTATTTGGAAATCTCTCATCCCTTTGTTGGAGAAGAGAAATCTGTTCTTTATTTTCTGCACACATTACTTTTTGCCATATTCAAACATTTGGGAAATGGAAATAGGGAAGCAGTGAGCTTCTTAGGAAAAAAACATAGATGAATGAAAGAGGAACTCTGAAGTCAGCGACATATAACAGGAACTGTCAATGTGCTGTTATTGCTGTTGCTTATTTTTTCTCCTTTGCTAGGAGACCTGTTCTGATGATGTGTGTGGTGCTCACCACTCTTCCCAGCTTCAGCTTTTCCATAGCAGCCACCGAGGTATGCAATTTTCATTTCTTCTACTGCGGGATATTGTGGTCTTAAAATGCCGTGGTTTTGATTCTCAAGAGAGTAGTATGCCCAAAACATTTTCCAAAGTTTATTCCAATCCAATCTTCTTCCAAATTTAAATATATGTACATATACGTGTAATCCTTATTGTAAGATAATTTTTACCTCTGTGATTTGAGGAATAGTTTGGCATTTTAAAACACATATTACTTCTGTACTTACATATATGGCATAAGAGTATATTTCAAAGCTGCAAAGAATAACAAACTCAGGCAATCTACTGTCTTATACAATTATCTTTGGTAAGTTACCCACTGATAAATATTTTACACATGTTAATTATGCTGGTAGTCTTTTGTTTCAACAAACCAGAGCTCCAATAGGTTTCCCGGAGACAACCAGACCATAGGACAGGATGATTGGAAGCAAACAGCCTCACTTTCAACAGAAGTCAGCAAAGGCCTTACCAATGATGTCATTCACTTGCAAGTGTTGGGAAAGAGGACAGCATCATCAGCTTGCGGGAGGGAGCTGCGGAGGCTTTCCCAGAAGTTCTAATTTCAGTTCATAAAATGATGGCATATCTGGGATATGGTAGCTGTTTTTTGTTATATACTAAGTGGTCTCATTCATTGTAGAGTAACCTCTCCTCTTTTTTATTACATTTCCATTAAAGTGCTTGCAGCGTAAGTGTATAGTATCAATGGAATGTCACAAAACAGATCCTTGTGCCAACACCACTCAGGTCAAGAAATGCAGCCTGAGCAGCTGCAGCCCCATAGGCTCTGTCTCCCTTTTCTCCCTCCCTCCCTCCCTCCCTCCCTCCCTCACAAGATTACTTTGACCATGACTTCTATAACAGAGCCATTTACCTATATTTTGAATTTTCTGTTAGGGTAATTCAAATTATAACCACATTTATTATGGTTATAATTTATGATTATAGTGTATTTCTTCTATCTTATTCAAAAGTATGATGTGACGGCCATTCATACTTTTATGTCTAGCTATAGGTTTACATATTTTCATTGCTATAAGACTCAAGTATTTCATCTTAAAAGCTATTGCAATTTATTTATTTATTTATGGTGTTGGGATTGAACCTTGGGTGCTAAGTACATCCAAGGTTCGCCAGCCTAGCCCAATACTGCAGTTTACACTTTAGTTATACAGTTCCATTGCGTTGTTGCTGCTATAGTGAGGATTGAACCTGGGGGCAGGACGTAGAAGGCAAGCTTCTAGCACTGAGCGTTCTCAGTTCTATCAGTGCTGTTCTCTTTTAAAAAATGATTTATTATTATTAATACATGCCAGTCACAGTTTTCCCTTCCTCTTCTCCTCCCAGTCCCTAATCCCTATCCCCACTCTGTCCCCCATCTACTTGTCCTTCATTTCTCTTTAGAAAAGGGCAGGCTTCCCATGGATATCAATCAAACATGGCATATCAAGTTGTAGTAAGACTAAGCACCTCCTCCATTATTAACTGAATAAGGTGACCCAGTATGAGGAATAGAGGCTCAAAAGCTAGTAAAAGAGTCAGAGACAGCTGCTGCTCACTCTTAGGAGTCCCACAAAAAGACCAAGTTACACAACTGCAACATAGGTGCAGAGGGCCTAGGTCAGTCCCGTGCAACTCCCTGGTAGTCAATTCAGTCTCTGTGAGCCCCTGTAAGACCAGGTTAGTTGATTCTGGGGGTTTTCTTGTGGTGTTCATAACTCCTCTGGCTCATACAGTCTTTCCTCCCCATCCTCCATAGTATTTTTTGATCTCTGCCTAATGTTTGGCTGTGGGTCGCAGCATCTGTTTCCACCAGTTGCTGGATGAAGCCTCTCTGATGACAATGGGACTAGGCATCAATCTATGGGTATAACAGAACATCACTAGGCATAATTCCATTGATTTTTTTCTTTGCTAGTCATGTTTGGTTCTGTCGTAGGATGGGCTATCCAGCCTCTGGATACTGACCTATCTGGCAGTGTCAGGGCCAGGTTCTCTAGTGGCATCGGTCTCAGGCTAGACCACAATTTCTGCTCCTTTTTACCCAAGCTCATTTTATAGGCAGAACAAATTGTAGGTTGAAGTTTTTGTGGCTGGATTGGTGTTCCGATCCCTCCACAGAATTCTTGCCTGGCCACAGGAGATGAGCAGTTCAGGCTATGCATCCCCTATTGCTAGAAGTCTGCTACCCAAGCAGTTCCACTAAATCAGGAAATAGACAAGGCTGTCTGCTCTCTCCATGTCTACTCTGTAATGAGGAGTGTCAGGCCGCTACTCGCCTCCCAGCTCCCGGCCACTGGCTAGCTTTACCCAAAATAATTACACGGAAACCGTATTCTTTTAAATACCACTTGGCCCATTAGTTCCATCCTCTTACTGGCTAACTCTCACATCTTGATTAACCCATTTCTTTTAAGATGTAGGTACCATAAATATGTTCACCCTGGAACTCGCCTTCACACTTTTACTGATGTCTTTTGATAAGAAGCTTTTTGCTTTGAAACAGTCTGCTTTATCAGCTTCTTTCATCTGTGTAAAATGCTTCTGGTGAAAGAATTAAGATTTCAGAATCTAAACTGCAAAGTCCTAAAGATCTTATCATGAACTTATCTCATCTTTTAGAAAATGCATTTCTTCTCTTTCTTTTAGATTCACAGTCTGACTTTAATGGTTGTTTGTTATGTTGTATAGGGGTGGGTCAAGTTTTTTTTTTTTTCTATCGAGTAGAGAACCATGCTTTAAAAACTCCTTTGTCTGCTTCAACAGAGTTCTCTTTGTTATAAGCCAGGTGTCCATGTGTTTGACCTGTCCCCAAGCATCTAGTGTCGCCACTTTGCCTAGCTGTTTGTTCTGTGCTAACTCACACCTCACGACTTATTCTCTAGCTTTATAAGTGTTCTACAGAGCCAGAGGAGCAAATTGTTCTACCTTCCTTTCCACCTATAACTACTGCCCTTCTTATTTCCACATGCATTTCAGAATATGCTTTATAATTGACATGCTGATTGAAGTTGCAGTTAATGGTTTTATCTTTAAAAAAAATCTTATTTTTGTTTTTTTTTGTCATTAGGAGTTAAAAAGAATAGATTCATTTGGGAGCATTTTCTTCATATATGTTTATACAGTTTATGAAAAGTGATGTTTAATTTTTCTTTGTTTTTAGTAAAGTTTATTATTTTTTCCTGGATTTATTAGACTCTCTGAGATATCCAAGACAAGTTGACTAACATTGGTCACAAAGGTATCTTTGTTTTGTTTCTGAGAGAAAACTTCCAATGTTTCACCAAGAATATGATGCACCCAGGCTTGTTTTGCTGTATTGTTTATAGATACCATAAGCAGATGCAGAAGAAAGCTTAGCTGAGCTTACCTGGTAATTTCAGGACTCTCTTTAGAAGTAGAGTAGGAAGGAGTGGTCTATTTCATCTTTACAGAGAAAACACACCCACCCATAGACACACACACGCACTTACATACATATACATGCATACACATCCACACAGAGAGATACAGATATACACACACAGACACATGCACACACACACATTCACACAGACATACAGTGTATTAGGATTTCTACTGCTGTGAAGACTATGACCATGGCAACCCTTATAAGAAAAACATTTAATTGGGGAGGCTAGTTTACAGTTTCAGAGGTTCAGTCCACTATCATCATGGTGGGGAGCACGGCCGCATGCAGGCAGACATGGTGCTGGAGAAGTAGAGAATCCTACATCTTGCAAGCAACAGGAAATGGTTTAAGTGTCACACTGAGCGAAGCTTAAGCCAAAGAGACCCCAAAGCCCACCTCCACAGTGACACGCTTCCTCTAACAAGGCCACACCCACTCTAACAAAGCCACACCTCCTGTTAGTATCACTCCCTTGGGGGCTGTTTTCTTTCAAGCTGCCACATCCACGCGCAGAAACACAGACACCTAGATATAGACACAGACACACCAAGATACACACACACACACACACACACACACACACACACAGAATGAGGATCCAATTCAGGGCCTCATGTATGCCATGTAAGTGCTTTACCAACTGAGTTATATACACAGTCTTTTATTATTATATTTTTCATTCATCTGGGAGGCTCTACTTTTAATAAAAAATGATTCCACTTGTGTGAAACCCCTTTGCATATTTAGAAATGGTTCAAAGCCTTGTGTTTAAAACCTGAGAAGCTAAAAACAGAGCTTTTAATTTTTCAGTAAATATATTTCTGATAAATTTAGCACTGTCTGCAGCCTAGTGACAGAATTTAGAACAAATAAAGCAAACTAATTAAATGTGCTTAAATGACTCTCTGAAAATAGGTTCAAAAGGATGCCAACGGAACAGCTCCAGATTTATCGACTGATTCCTTACTTGACCTGCCAGTGTCTCTGATTCTATTGTCCCTGATCGTGGTTGATATTATTGAGAGACTCAGGATATATCCTCTAAGAGGGCGTCATATGAGTAAGTAGCCCTTTACTTATCTTTTATCTTTCTGCTATCCTGTTGCTTAATGAACAATAATGACAGTGTTTCTTAGGAGTAACACCACTGAGAGAAGATTGAAAATGAAGATACCTAGACATAAATATTTTGAAACATACTTTGATATCAGTCATTATTACTTAGTTGTATATTGGTAGTGTCTATAGATCTGTAAAATAATCAAATATTTAATACCATTAAAGCTTAATACTTGCTCTAGGAAGAAAACATCGACATATTATTTTAGAAATGTTCTTAAGTCCTTAAATTTTAAAGAATAAAATAAAATTGAACCTGGTTTGATGGCACACACCTATGTTCTCAGCTGAGGTAGGAGGACAAAGAGTTGAAAACCAGCCTAGTTACATAGACAGATCCTTTCTCAAAAAACAAACAATGGAAGTAACAAAAAAAGTCTCTTTGTTTGAATATGTTTGTTACAAGAATGAGTATAATAGCATAAATCCTACTTATGTCTTAGAGAATTACCTATTATGGATTTTTAAAAAGGCAAATATTCACATTAGTAAAACAGAGACAAACCACATTCCTACTAAGTGAAAAGTTGAAATTAAATATAGATTGGCCTTTAAAAATGTATCTCATTAGTTGATTACTCTTTGTTCAGACATAAATTCTTTTCAGTTCCATTTATTTCATGTGCCAAAGTATGACTTGCTGTGGAATAATCCTTCTGTACACTGTGTGGATATATGTCACTGTGATTGGTTTAATAAGCAAGCTGACTGTCCAATAGCTGAGCAGGATACAATTAAGTGGGAAAGCCCTACTGAGAATGATGGGATGAGGAAGGGCAGAGTCGGAGGAGTCACCAGTTAGAGAACAAGCCAGACACACAAAGTGGGATAGAGGTAAAAGCCACAAGGTATGGGGCAGCACGGAAACTAATAGAACTGGGTTAAGTTGTAAGAGCCAATAGTAACAAGCCTGAGCTACTGACTGAGCATTTATAATTAAAATTAAGGCTCAGTGTGATTATTATGAAAGGGCTGCTGGGACACAGAGACACTCCACCTGCAGTGACTGACATTCTGTATTATAAGAATCAACTTTTGTTGCGAGAGTATGCTGGAAATGAGCGGACACTGGGAGACCATCCTGCAACACAGATGGAGTAAGGCTTCACAGTGACAAGGATAACAGCAGAGACAGCCAGCCATTTACAGACCACACAGAACCATTGTGCAGTCACTCTTGCTCTGGACATTGAAAGGTAGATTGTCCTGTATGCTACCAGGAAAGCAGAGTCTTTCATCTTCCACTCTGTCCTTGGGTAGGAGATTGTGTGCCATTATGTTCAAAATTGTGCTGGTGACAATTCAATAGCAATCCAGGGGCCTCCTGCTGAGGAAAAGTTCTCCCAAGCTCCAGCTTCCCTCTAAACTCAAGTGTCTTAGTTAAGTATTTGGGATATCTCTAGTTCCTTAAAGCTGCAGATCTGTTTTTAGATTTTTCTATTCTTGAGGACTCTTTATTTTGCATATTGGTGTGAACTTTCTGTCCAAATGAAGATTCTTTTTTTTAAATGCACCTACATATTTTTTTAGTACAAGTTAATGGCACTTTATTATCTATAGTGATTATTGGAATCCATATTCTGTATCCAACAGTGATAAAAACTAAATAAAGACTTTGAAATCAGTCTTGGGAAGGGGACTAGAGCAGAACAAAGTCCCGCACTTCTTAGTTGAGACCCTCCCCCAGCCCCTTTCTGCCCAAACTTAAGAGGGTTGACTAAAATATATTGTATTAGCTCTGCAATTCAATAATAAAATCACCCTTTAAAAGCTAGAACTTGTTCAAAATGCTTTTAAAAACATTAATGTCAAGTATATTTAATATTTATTGTTGTGTTAGGAGCGGCGGACCTCTTCCCACAGCCCGGCTCCCGCACGGCTAGCTTTACACCAGAAATAACAACACACAAATTGTATTCATTTAAACACTGCTTGGCCCATTATATCTAGCCTCTTCTCGGCTAATTCTGATATCCCGATCAACCCATCTCTAATAAACTGTGTAGCACCGGTCTTACCGGGAAAGATTCAGCATGTCTGACCTGGCTGCTTGCTTCATCGCGTGCATCTGCCCGGGAGAGGGGAGCATGGCCTGTCTGAGCTCACTTCTTCTTCCTCCCAGCATTCTGTCCTGTTTACTCCACTCACCTATATTCTAACCAATAAAATGGGCCAAGGCAGTTTCTTTATTACTTAACCAATGACCTTCCTCCATCAATTTATGTAGATTTTGAACTCAGATTTTAGTATGCATATTAGTACAATAAATCCCATAATTTTTGAGTCAATAGTATACTTTCCTTTATCCTCTGAAACTTACTGTTTAAACACATTGGTTTTAAAAATCATTTTTGCAATCACAGGCTAGCTGTGTAGTCCAGGCTGACCTTTAGCTCCTCATCTTCTTGCCTCCATCACCCGAGGCTTTAATTACAGGTGTGCACCAGCAAGAATGCCAAGGTGTCCAATGATATGACAGCATGGTTTCTAAGTGCAGTGTTTCACCTAAAACGAACCCCCATGGGAGTAGTCTGCAGGCACATGGATCTCTGTATGTCCAGATATGACAACAAATGACAAGAATGCAAAAAAATAGCCCAAAGCTCTCATTTCTAGCTGGCTCTCCTATTAATGACGGCACTTCTACTTCCTCATCCTCTGCCATCTTGTTCTTGCTTTTACTTTAAGAGAAGGCTCATGCTGATTATTTTGTGCTCTTATTTGTGGGTCCAGATAGCTGAGTATCAACCACTTCTACTTTGTTTTCAGTGGCCATCTTGTTCTCATTTCAGACCCCAGCTCCTTCTGAGTCTCCTGTGTTCCTGTCTGTTCAGACTAGTGACTGTTCCAGAAGTCCCGCTTTTAGCATAGTTGTCTTGGCGTGTGGTTGCTTACCATGCTCAGATCCAAACACGGTTAGCCCCGTGCTTAGTGTCTGCAACGAGCCTTGATATGCTTTCTGTATTTGGGTGGATTGTCTCTTTTCCTGCCAGCTGGAATACTGACTTCTTCCACCAAAGTTTACTTTTCTGGTGAAGCTGCAAACAGAAGATGGGAAGTCATTTAGAAACATAACCCTTTGGCTGTAGAATGTACAGGTGCTATCATGTTGCCTGGGCTTCAGGGATTTCAAACAATACCCATTACTTTCGACTGGACAACATACTATTCTCTCCTACCAAAAGACCTGAAACTGGATCTAGTAGAGTCAGATTTCATTTGAAGTAACTTTTCTAGAGGAGTCAGAAGTCTCCTTACTTCAGGATTTATAATAGATATTCCATCGCCTGAATCCTAATGATATCTATCATTTGATTCCTCCCCTGTCTCTATCAAGATCTCTCAACCCCATAGAAACAGGAAGATGCAGACATAAACACAATAATATCAATGGCTAAGTGGGAGTTTTTAGTCCTATCAGCCTAGCTCAGCTAATTAGAGTTTGTAGTCTAGTTTGGAACCCATGTTGCAAAATGATAAGAATATATTGTTAAAGTGCTAGAGGGTATGTGTGTAAATACTATGTTGGACTACAGGTGAAGGAACACTCAGGTCATATAAGGGGCTAGAGGCCAATAGAGACCAAGGGAGGGGTCTGAGTTTTACAGGTTTGTAGGTGAGCAGAGAGGAATCTTTCACCATTGACCAAGCTCAGACCTCAAGGAAGTCAAGAGTGCATGTAACCCATGGGCGTGCTCCAGAAGTAAAAGTAACTCAGTTTGATGTCATACCATCAGTCAACAAACATTTTACTGGAACAGAAGCTGCCTTCTTAAAACCATCTATGACTAGTCTGTCAATTTGTCACTTTGCAAACCTGCAAAACAGCTTCAAGAGGTGCCATGTAAACTCTGGGGAAGAGGACTTGGAGAAGGAAGTGAAGGAGGTTTAATAAGATCAAAGGTCTCAGTTGTAGTCCCTGCTTCAGCCAGACAACAGGGCTTTTGTTTAGAAGATGTTTTACATAAAGTTCTGTCTGGAGATAACAGGAGGTTTTTCTGCCAAAGGTTGAAGACCACTAATCCAGGAGCTTGTTCTGAGCTGTAGACTGAGCCTCCTGTAGGGCAGTGCCGTGACTGAAGCAGCCTGGTCGCTCTGTAGACCCGGCTCCCAGGAAAGCATGGTTCTGTACCATCAAAGGCAAAAGGAGCCCCACATAAAGCCTCGCTGTGGCTCCTGATGCTCAGAACCTATGCCTACACAGCCTGTAGGCCCAGCAAGCCTATCCCACGGTTGAGGCACAGTGCTCTTGGAAACCACGCAACTTTTTCATTACAATATTTTGAATCTTTCATTGAGACTTTATTTTTCAAAAACAATATATATTCATCTAAAGAGGTTATAATATAAAGGTCCTAAAAAGGAAAACAAATTAACCAACTATAACTATATGATACAAATTAGAGATTTATGATTGATGGGCTCTTGTTACATATTCAGTCAAAGCATCTTATTTTGTGATTTTTCTCCTACAGTGTATAGTGGACTTGTTATTCTTGTTATTTTTATCAATGGTATCACATTTTTATTGGTCACAAATACTCCATTATATTAATGATTTACGATGCAAATCTTGTTGGGCACCTAGATTTGTGATTTATTCTTTTAAAAAATCTTTCTATTACAGGCACTGTTGTTACAGAAGGACAGGGGTGTGGTTAGAGCAAGTCAAGCAATGTTTGTTTGACCCGGGAAGGAGAAGACACATTAAGGGCAGAACACATGTATAGTGCAATGCAAGTGACCTGATTTAAAGTGACCCTGCACTGTGTGGGAATTAGAAGGCTCTCAGGGAGGTGAATGGGCAAACAGAAGCTGGGAATGGAAAGAGTTAAGCACCTCTGGACTGTAGCCTAAAGATATCAGGATGATGACTGCAGAGTGTCCTCAGAAGACCCGGAGCATCTGTTCATGCCCAGACTCCTTGGCAACCACGTTGCC